CTGCAGATGATTCTAGATTTCTGGATTGAAATTAGTGAGATAATTCCACATTTTCAGTTCCTTGGGCAAGCCTCTAGCTTGCACACACCTTAGGTCAGCTTATAAATGCATCTTTAGAAACCCCATAATTGCAGATATCCAACATTCCTGCAAGAATAATGTAGGATAACTATCTAATAATAAAAGAAAAATCATGATGGAGTTACCTCATAACTACAAAAAGCATTCTGCATCCTCAAAGGTTATGCAGAAAGCAGGACTATCCACTAGATTTTAGTATTAAGTAACGTCCAGGTTCATATCAATATAATTTAAGGAAAAAATACAGTATTTAAGCATCAAAATTCTCAGCTATATACAGTTAATACCTGCTTGCTCTGTTACTACTCCATGGCTAAGACCCAATGTGAAGAAACGGAACTCATCTTGCATATGAAGTAAACTATTTTGCTTTTCAACTTCTGAGTATTTTCAACTTGTTTCCTCTTCTAAACCCCCCTTGTCTTAATTTCAGGGTAACATCAATATTTGATCTTCAGTAAGCTCAGCTGGTAGTGCCTCTTCCTCCTGTGAAACAAGGAATCCAATAATCAGTTTCAGGTCTCCATCCAGCTAAGATGGTTATTAGATCACAGAAAAATACTTAACTATTTCCAAGATAATTCTGTGCTTATTTTATAAAACTTGCAAGAAATCAAATATTAGTGCAAAATCTTAGTGAGTTGATCAACATATGCAAGGCATGGGTTTCAGTCCATAATAAAGATTCTTTGTTGAAAGAAATCCAATAGCGTGTATTTGTACAGCAGATGGTCCAAATATAGAAACATGGTCTGCATGGACAGAATCTTCTGTTTATATCAGTTTACGATTTCTATCCTATTTTTGTGTTGGAAAATAATTTCTCAAAGTAGGCAAATTTATTACATGCATTATTTCAGTAGCTAATTACAATGTTAACTGGGCTGATTCTGTCTAGAGCATTGGCGTTACTGCAGAATGCATTAGGTTTCTCATACCATTTTTCATCCTAGCCTTAATAAGGCTTTTAAATGTTATCGGTAACTTTGTGCCCCTAAAATTTTGCCATAAAACTTGATTAAATAGTTGGCTGTTGAGGCTAACAAGAGACTTTTATAAAAATATTAAGCTGCAGTAGAAAATGGGAATTGCACTTCAATGTTTCAATATATGGAATTTAATGGTATTATATTACGAATATTTGGAACACATAAATAAATGTTAGGATCTGATAAACATGTGCACTAATAGATATAATATTCAGATTCCTTTAAGATAGACTGAGGAAAAGAGGCAACACTGATAATGCATTAGAAACTACTAATGGAAACTAAACATATGAACAACTTTTGAAACTGTCAAGTTCTGTTTTGATAACAAGAAAATAAATACCAGCTTCTAGAAAAATTGCTGTTCTGTAACTTCCTAAGAAACTGTCTATATGGAGACTGAGTGCCATGCTAAAATGAATATTCAGGAAGTCTCCATCCCTTTTGAATTGCCTTTTTTTTTTTGTTTTTTTAAAGAAGCAGAAGTTTCTTTAATGATGATCTTCAATCAAAGGATTTAACTCTTTTCTGTCTGTAAGCTTCTTTCAATAATTAGTCTTCAGTTACCAAAACTCATTGGTCCTTTATTATTACAGTCACTGTTATTATTTCAGTAGTAACTGAGTAGAAAAATAAATATGGTAAAACAGCCATTCAGGTGTCTGAAAAGAGTGCTTTTGGCAGAGGCAAAGGCTTCAGAAGCACATTACACAGAGGCACAACAAAAGGCAAGGACTGGTTTATGTCATACCCCAAACATTAACTGCAGTTCCACTGCAGTCCAAAAATCAGCTCAGAGAAACTGTATGGTCTTAGTCATGTCAGCCAGACAGTCATAAATGATGCTATCATGTTTAAGCATAATGGAGAAGAGTTTCTTATCCATTAATCCAGGTGAAGATACAGCAAAGAAACTGCAGAACACAGAGCTGAATGAGCTACCTTGAAACTGCTCCCCATGTTGAGGCTTGTGATGTCCTTGGGCAAACTTACAGACAGCTTCAGTCTGCCAGGGAGGGACAACTCAAACTGAAGCAGAAGAGAGGGTCATAGTTAGGAGCAGAGAGCAAGGTTAAGCTAGACTTACAGGGAAAGGAAAGTCAATTAAAAAAAACATACAATGCAGATGCTACTCTCTATTTTAATCTTTACACCACTTGGTTTTTCTTGCACAGGATTCCATCTTCTAACTATAGATGAACCTGGTCTGCAGATGAATCAGCAAATGAGGCTTCTGCCAGTAAGAGTCTTGATTTATTTATTTATTTGCAAGTGCTGAAGGGTATATAATTAGAGAGAGAAGGGGTAACACAAAGAAAGTGTGTTCTCATAATCGAGAAAATGGGGAAACTGGACGAATAGTTTTGTCTCTGACACCACCAAGAAGTTTGTATATGATTCAGGGGGGCTCACTTAAGAACAAAGGTCATCATAGATGGATACTAGGCAATCTGTGGGGGGGATTTTTTTTGGTCATATTTTTTCTTTCTTTTTTTTTTTTTTAAAAGGTGCCTGGGTCATGGTGAAGGTTCAAGTCTGACCTCGTTCCAGTAATGTATAAAGGTGGGCTAAGATTGGGCTAGAAAAGTCCTTTTGTCCTTCTATGAAGGATCCTGTATAGCAAAGGCAGATGGGATGCCTTGTCACTGTCATTACGTGGCTCTGTGCTAAGGGGTATGGAAGGTGACAGCCCTGGTGCTCCCCAGAGGTAGCCTTGAACCCAATGCGCGCGTGAGCAAGGATTTTCATCTGCACAGCCTGGCGAGATGAGGCAAGAGTTTTTTTATTTGGGTGCTGACTAAGGCATAATGTATGCACAGCATGTTTTTCATTTATCGGTTGCCCAAAATGAGACAGCACCAGGGCTGCAGAAATGCTGAAGGTTCACAAGTACGCTCGTGTGCCAAATACAAAAGTGCCTAGTACTGGGGGGGAAAGGGGAGAACACCTTAGGTTTCTTCACTTGGATGCACAAAATTAGTGAATGTTTTCTGAACACGGAAACGTTCATGTAGCGCACTCCTTTTCTCTGACCTGTGGTGTGAGGATGATACAAACAGCTGCTGCAGCATTTATGGTGGATTATAAGGTGTTAGAGTAACAGGAGTACCAGGTAAACATATCAAATGAAACTATTCGTTATCAAAATTAGTGCTAGGATCAGATTGACTATGATCTATGACCACATACTAAGCAAGAGAAATACAAATACATGTTGAATAAACAGTGCCAGCTGAGCTTAATAACCTGTAGAAATAATAGTATCCTGTCAAACAGTTATAAGACATATACAGGATAAATCTAAATCAAGACCGAATTGGTAATTTGAATTTAAGTATTTCCTTAGCTTTTCCTTCCTTTTAAACCCTTTAGATCTGTTAATGTTATTTTGATTGAGTAAATATGTACAGGGGTTTTTTGTTAGTGCAGTGTGATATGAATTACAGTCAGAATGAATTGCAGCATTTCACATGACTTCAGTTCAAAGTCTATACATAACCAGCTTCGATTTTTCAGCACCCTCTAGAGTAAGCAGAAAGCTCCAGCAGTCTTTCCTTTCATCTTAGATAGCCAAGGTAGTATACTCCTTTTTTTGCCTTTTTATTTGACTTCCTGATACTCTAAATGTTTAAATGTAGCTATGGAAGTGTTGGAAAGAACTAAATTGAAACATGTTAAATTATTAAATAAGTGATCATATTATAAAAGCAGTCCTTTAAAATGCTGTCATGTGAAAACCCTACTTCAGAAAAAAAGCCAAGCAAACACAAGTTTTTTTACCTGGCAACTAGGGATAATATTCACAATAAAGCGTAGCTTTACAAGCTGATGTTTAACCTGCTGTGGCCGCAAAAGGAGTCTCTGGAAGACGTACTACAAAGTTTAGCAATTCTACGCTCACCACTCTTGCAAGAAAATCAAGTCATTGTTTACATGAGGATGGGTTGGTTCCTGCTGCCTCCCTCACAGATCCTCCACTGTGCTGTCTGCTGACTTCTTTCCCTTTACTATTTTATATCTTTTTACACTGGTGTTTTCCCTCTTGGATCCTTGTGCTCCTCCTTAACGCTATATCAATGATCTCACTTCTGTCTGCAATTTTACTTTTATTATTTTGCCTAATTTTCACGATTTATCAAATCTCTCAGTAGTCTGAGCCAAATATGCAGCTGGCCCATCTGAAAACTAGCCCTGGCATCACAGACAGCTGAGTCCATAGGAGAAGAGTAACAAACATATACTGAAAGCCCACCGCTGTTTCCCCCTGCCTCAGCCATCTCTAGTCTCACGCTTCGGCCCAGGTGCTTCCGAAGACCCTCAAACCGCTTACTCCCTGGCTGAGCTTCCACAGGGATGTTATGCAACTGCTGGTGAAAGGCAATACTGTCTCAGCAGACCTACCAGCTTTCACGAATGTGTAATTCAGGCGGTCTCCCGGAGCACATCTGGACCACTTTGTTGGTCAAACATTAGAATTCAGCTGCAGTAAGGACCCAGTCAACAGTGATACATCAATAACTTCTAATGGGAAGCAAAGGCTTGCAGAAGTTACTGTCATCTGTCTCTAAGATTGTAAATTTTGTTTTCAAACAGTGACATTAAACTGCCTAGGAAAGGGCAATCATTTCCCTATCAGTTTACACGGGTAATTCATTATTCATCATACAGAACTAGAGAGCTCAACTGAAGGTCTTTGAGAGGAGTCTCGAGCAGCACACCATAGCAGCTGGGTAGCTAAGATGATGTTGATTCTTTCCAAGCAAAATATAACTCGATCTAAAAACCAATTTGACAGTTCTTGTTTTTTTTCTTTTTAAACATGTTAATTTGTTTGAAAGAGCGTTGTAGAAAGAATTGAACATGGGCTTGACGTCTGGAAGTCACACTTGCTACAGAGCTTTTTATTATTATCGTTACTAATGCCATAATATGTTTGCTGCTGCAACCAAAAACTTTGTTAAACAGGTTGGTGATGGAGGAAGACTAGTTCCCGTGCCCAGTCTTAGTGAAGCTGATAGATACCAACCTCTGAGCCTTGTGATTAAGAAAAGAAAATGTTTACTTTCAAAAACATCTAAATTTGCTTCAACACCTTTCACATTAAAAGACATTCTTCAAGGCGAGAAAGAAATTTCTGCAGGTAAGATTTCTATCTTTCTTCAAAATGGAAAAATGCACGTTTTCTAGTAAATACAGAACAGCAGACAGTTTAAACTTTGCAGATGGTATGTTGGTTCTTTAGTAGATGTGTAATAAAATTTGTCTTGCTTAGTCCTGTAATAAATATTTGAGAAAAAAAGGACAAGTCAAACTGGTTAAAAAAAGAAAAAGAGAAAAAAAGGACTTTCTGGAAAAAGTGTAAAAAACCCAAATGGTCAATTATACTAAAAATCCTTGGTATTTTCTGAACTAATAGGAAACAATTTCAGTTAAGTGTTGTGTTTTTTCACAAATCACAACAGATTCCTGATAGATGTATTGATGTACGTTGATTAATTACTTCTTAAAAATTGTTTTTAATGTTCACCTTTCCCTGCATACTCACTTTTAAATATGTAAGAATGGCCTCAGTGCTGCAGCTGTTCTGTGCTAGTAATCCCTGGTGTTGCACTGGGCTCTGCACAGGCTGAAGCATTTGACAACAGCTATCTGACTGAAGTAATTGGATTTCCATAAGATTTTTTTTTCTCCATATTTGTAATCTTTTTTCTGTATTTAAAGAGCTTAACTGTGTTTAAATTGCCTTTGCTACGCAATATCAGAAAGTTTTGAGAGGATTCTATGAGAATTAAAAGGTGTAAAATTGAACTATGCTGCCTACATTTTGCTGTATCTTCCTTTGAAAAGTCTAAGTCATTTCTACGTGCTGTATTTCCTTAAAAGAGTTCATTGCTTTACTTTCTTTTGAAAAAATGTCTGTTTTAACATAAGCATTGATCACATTAATTGCACAACAATTACATTAATTAAAAACTCTACTAAGACAAACCAGTATGAGCACAAGAAGACAGAAATATTGTTTGACCCCACAAAGGGGTGATTCCAGAACAGAAGTGTGATGAAAAAGTTTGGAATCCCACTAATCCTACCAGTCTTCCATTCAGGAGAAGTCAGCTGGCTTGTCCAGAATGAAAGAAAATTGAAAAAAATCTCATTAAAGGTCTGAGAAAAAGGTTGCAAAATCTCATTAAAATGTCTCATAAAACCTTAATAGTCTTTTTTGTAAAGGTTAGATGTCATGTGCAGAAGGTATTGTCCTTTAATGTAAGCAAAGAACTTTGTAATTGAATTTCCTTTTTTATGTGACTAATACAAGCATTTGCAGTCTTTTTAGCAGTATGAAAAGTATATGAAGGTGGGGGTTTTTGGTTAAAATTAAAGACAAACAGGATTCACACTAGGCAACTTCGTAATGTCACTTTATCCTATAAGCTTCAAAGGACTTTAAAAGAGAAAAAAAAGGAGTAAAACCTAGATTCTCAATTGTATTTGGATCCCTTTGGATGCCTAATCCCTGTGTTCTACCTGCTCTATTCTTTTTTAATTTGGCACCCAATGTGTTGTAATATTTTTCTGTTAGTATACTGAAAATATATTTAAGGTTATAAAGAAAGCATTATAAAAATGCTTTGGCCCCTACTATTGTGTTGTACAATAAATCCATGCAAACTTTCAAGTCAGTCAGAATTAACCTGTTGTTTTCCTTCAGAATAAACTGTCATAGTTCCTGGAATCATCAGGCCTCCATGGAAAGTGTGGCAAGTCTTTCTAACTGTGACATATCGGGTAAAAGGCAAAGTTAATGTTACTGGCACGTCCATGTCTCATTCACGTATTGCAAAAATGAAGAAACGTTACGTTCATTTGTACTGCATCTAGACAAAATTCAGAATTCACTAATGTTATCTTACACGCAGGGCTTTCACTGTGTTCCTAGCTTTAATATTCTGTGTGGCCTCCACTGAGTCATTTTGTGCTTCAGAACCTCTGTCTTTAAGTGCAGAACACACTACTACATGCCCGTTTATACAAGTACCAACGGCATACTTACAGGTAAAAGTACTTGAGGAGAATAAAGCTAAGCACAGAAATGTAGAAAAAGCCCTAATCACCCTTTCATGCCCAGGACATACCACATGCAGGAGCATGGGCACAACTCTACCAGTGAGCACCACAGAAATCCCTCAGCCGGCTATGATGTGCTCTTTTCCCATTAGATAAGCAAGTGCTCAGTGTAGCTCTGCATTTCCCATCGAAATAGTTAAGCACAGTAGGAACAGGACCAATTATTCTCTTCTTCATATTTATTCTATTAAAATTTAAAATAATTAAAATGTCCTGTTACAAATATCTCATGCTGTGTAAAAATTCTGTGTTCAGACTTCTCATCACACAACATTTATCTTCTTTTACTCAGGTGTCTCGTCTTACCAGTTGCTCAACTATGAAGACAAATCAGATGTTTCACTTAACGGTAGAAGAGGAAATCAGATAATGAATGATGTTGGTTTTGATGTTGCTGGATCAGATTCTATTGCCTTTAAAGCTTCGTTTGGCATAGTGACCAAACATGAGGTTGAAGTACCAACATTACTTAAAGAACTTACTACAAGGTTATATTATATATTTTGTTTTCTGGTTCTGTAATTGTATATCATACAGTTAGGCTGAGCCTCTGAAATGGTTATGTTTGGATTATTCTTATCCAATCAATAGCAGTCACCGTCCGCTATTTTCCAAGTTCCTTAATTATAAGCATAAAGAGTCTGTATAACATAGACTGCAGAATTTTTCTGAATTAATTCTTGTTTGACTTACAGCACATCTTTCAAG